AAGGGTATCATAGGTATGCTAGAAGAGTATAAGTCTCGAGATGTAGCAAACCCTCCAACCATACCATTATGCTTACCTCAATTTTGTGTGTTTAGTGTTCTTGTATGCTTATGCCTATACTCGCTAGCATGCTCATGTAGGGAATGCAAATAGTATAATAGAATTATTTGTGTATGTACTACTCATTGACCTTTTGTCTATTCGAATCGTAACTTTATTTTGATACAAATACTATGATATTATTTTAGGATATATTCGAGAGCTCTCCGTTTTTGAAAACTTGAAAACTTGTTTTCATTCACGTTTTCAAGTAATAGTATTTTAATGATGATTACAATACTGTTTTAAAACAAAATTTTGGGCTAGCCACTTTAATGATCCAACAAAACTAGAAATAATATTTTATTTCAGTAAAACATATTTTTAAAAAACAGTAATACCCTCACTTGAACACCAATATACAATTTCCCATAACTGCATCTATAAAGACTTACTCTAGGCTCATTAGGCATAGAAGTCAACCTAAGAGAGTTTCTTGGGCCTAAGAGCCTACCCAAATAATTACCTTGGGGCCTAAGAGACTACCCAAGGGTCATCTTAGGTTTGTAAGGAATTATCAGCTTGATCAGAGTTGAACCTCAGAACTCTATGACAGATCCCAAAAGTACCTCAATATAAAATCAGATTGACAGAAACCAATAATATCAAAAATCCATAGGTATGTATATGTTGTATCAGGAAACAAAGATTAAAGATCATGTTTTATTTCATATAACAATCATACTTTTTTAAAATCAAAGAAAATATCATGTGCATATGGAACACACTAGAGGAATTAGTTATTTTTTGGAGGCACTTGTTAAGAGGGGAAACACGAACTTCTGTAAATTGGTCGGATATCATAAACGAGATTCCTATAAATAAGTGGTTTGATTATTAACGGATCTGATTAAACATTAAGAAATTGATACTTCAGGGCCATTTAGGAATAAGATGCATTAAGAAGGTATTCACGACCCTTACATCAAAATTATTCAAGATTCAAATATAACATAAGTTAATTCATCATTCAGGCTATTAGGGGCATTTTGGGCATTTTAATTCATGAAGAATTCTTAGTAACATAATCCAATTAAAACGATGATTTACAATATCTAAGATTTATATCAAGTTATCAAAATTTCGAGTCAAAACGGCCCAATCATATCCCAACACTGTGATACTTGTTAATCATTCAAACCGAGATCCTTCACAAATATTCACTTCTTAAATACTGACTGAACTAGTTGAATTGATCACTTTTAGAATCATAATTCATCATATCTTGAAAAGACAAACATATATTCCGTATGAGTTATCTTATTTTTGTATTGCAATAGTGTCAAGAATGACCAACGTGCTTGGGTCTTACTTCATAACCTTTAGAAACGATACAATATATATGTTTATCAGTGTTTCAGGAATTTTCCAATGACATTCACTTATTCCAAGTCATGAGGGTATCTAGGTCATTAACTAATAAATATATTTAAAAAATTAAAATAATATATTTAAATCAATCAAATGATTAAAATCTATAAATACTTTTGAATAATTAATAAAATATTAATATTACAGATCGCAACATATTTCTTAGTGTGCCATGACATTGTTGGTCAAACCTAAAATGTTAACAGTATCCATAACATTTACCGATTATAACTCATTTTCTTACCATGTATGATATTTTAGTGCAACATGTTATGTTACTCCGACTGATAACTTTTTCGGTTTTGATTTATAACATTTTGTGCTCCGCTTTTAACCAATTATTTTTTTACCCGTTATGCCGTTTATTAACCTTATTTTAGGCGTCTGACAATAAAACTTCTCGTTATAGGCAACTTGTTTTGTACGAGACATCTCCAGTCAGTTTTGAATATATTACAGGGTCAATATTGTTGCCTCATCCGACTGGGGAAGCAGGAGAAGAAACTCAAATTAAGATAGAGGGACTACACCAGGGTATATTGTCAAATCATATCGGATATCTAACGAATACGAAAACAAAAGCTTTATCGGCGTGTGATTGGAGGCAGCGATGGAGAAGAATTAATAATATCAAATTAAAAGTAATTTGTACAAATTAATTAATTTTTTATTTATTTATTTTAAAATAAAATATTTTCTCTTTTAATTATTAAAAAATGTCAACGTTAGAAAGCCATTATAGAAATATATAATTATCATTTACAATATGTCTTGAGAATATTCTAAAATAATATAAAAATAATATAAATCTAAAAATATTCATAAAACAATCTCAAATAATGGTATGACATTCGAAAAGATATGGATGAAGCTCTAAAATGTTAATGTTAAGGGTGGACAAGGGATTACGAGACAAAGTCTCAAATAATTATGGGATGGGTCCGAAAATTGCAAAATGTTCAGGCTTAGCTCTCCATAAGAGAGTAACCAACCTTCTTAGTTGCCTAGGAAAATGGCTTAACACTACAAAACAAATAGGATATGTTGCAGGGATTAAAATCGGAGATGAATTTCATTGGAGAGGCGGGTTATGTATCATTGGACTTCACACTGAGTTTCAAAGAAGGATAGATTGTATTTCGTCGTTCAATGGCAAAACTCGGGCCACTAGCATGGTCGACTCAGGCAGATACGAGAGTGTTACGAGTAGAGTTTTGTCCAGTGAGTTTACATACTAAGGTGAAGGTGAAAACCCCATTTATGGTGGTAAGAAGAAGATTAAAGATCAAAAACTTGTAGGTGGAAATCTTGCGTTAGTGAATAATATGATTGACAGAAAGCCTGTGAGAGTTATACATAGGTATAATCACACTGGTAATTTGAATGATTTTATTGCCAAGGGATGTGATTAATAGTTTAATCCTAGTTTTGATTAGTGGTTTTTGATGGTCTTTCAAGTTTAATCATATTTTGTGATTCATTTATACATATTTGTTCATATTTTTTGTTTGAGTCTTTTGGTTGAGTTTTTAACATTCTTCATATATGGTCCTTATAAGATCTAACGTGACAAGTTTCAGTGTTATAGTAAAATATTCAAATTATTTAGTTTATCGTGATAGAGTGAGTGACTAAATATTGGACGGAGACTAGGGGGGCTATGGTACATATATTTACTCATGGAGCTGTGTTTTCTGTATCGAAAGTGTCCATCAATGCACCAAGTTTCTTGAACTGACCAAGAATGGCGGTCCTCAAATAAGATTAAGGAGTTAAAGGGTGCGAAAAGCTAGAAACTTCATCGTGCTTGAGAACCGCCATCGTAGGCAACCGGACATCAATTTCGGGATCACTTTCACTAGGAAACGGCACCAACCCATGATTATATTGGTAATATGCAGCAAAACAAGCACAAGATTCCACCCACAGCATTGTACAAGGGATGCCCAATGAATAGAAGGGTTATTGATGAAACATGAAACGTGCCGTTTTTGTTCGGCTTGTTTCTTAATCATCATCGTAATCTCGTCTTTACCTATTAGTTCTAGTCTAAAGGAGCGGATTGGAGCCTTTAAAATATAAAATCATCGTATGTAATGAGATTATCAAGTCACTTGTTGCTTCTTCTCTGTACCAAAACAACATATAAATAATTAGGTAGCAAAGATAGGTGTTGTAGGGTGTTGATTCTTCTCCCTATATAATTGACTTTTGAACTCATTTTTATTTTAATTTTACATAAATTTAAGTCAATTAAATGAGTGAAAATAGATGATTGAGATTAACTTCTTATTTTCTTAAATATATTTTCATTTTTTCTTATTAATCTAAGTTATTTATTTTCATTCTTCGAATATTCCTAAATTTGTGTAAAACTAAAAAATCTTACGCTATATAATTAGATCTTAAAAAATACTTTTTATATTAAAAAAATAAAATTTTATTTAATTCGGTCGGATGGTCTTAAAATGCATGAATCATAAATCTTCCAAGTACCATTGTTCAATTTAAATTATAATCTTTTTTATTTCTTTACAATCTTAGTCGTGATCTTTGCAACAAGTAGATTGGTGATTAGGATGAGACCGATTTGGTTTATTTTTTATTTTTTAAAATCATAGATTATTTTTTTATTGTAGAATTTTTATATATAAGTTTTGAATATTGACTTTTCCGAATTTATTTATAGATAACCATAACAGTAATTTTAAAAAATACCAATGTAATTAAGTGCCAATGTAATTAAGTGGTGAGTGGTTGACTTATTGCCATGGGAGTTTGCATGCTCACTAGATTTGGGTAAGGCTTACTTAGTCATAGAGAAGACTCAGGAATGTCAAGAAGCGTCTAAGGTCGCACTTCTCGTCGGACCTTAACTTTGATATTACGACAGCTTGAGCTTGAAGGTTCTGAGGACGTGACAAATGGTATCAGAAAATAACGTTTTGAAATAATCAAGGGTATATAATGTATTTAGTATCTAAACTATCAATTTTGATTTGTTTTAGTACCCAAACTTTCAGCTTTTTTCAAAATCATACCTAAAGTTTAATTTTTATTTCATTTTAGTACTCCGTTTAAAATTTAACATTACATTTTAAAAAAGATTGAAAACTTAGATACTAAAACGGACCAAAACTAATAGTTAAGAGTTTTTAACGGATGGTATTAAACGAGTTAAGTTTTTAACGGAGGGGTACTACAATGAAACAAAAACTAAACGTTTGATGTGATTTTGAAAAAAATTGAAAATTTAGGTATTAAAACGGACTATCAGTTACTAAGTGTGTAGTTTACCCAATAATCAATATTCTCATCTGATTATTTTCTGGTAAATCACTGATTCGATTTAAACATAGTATCAACACAAGAAACATTGCACAAACTATATAACCTGATTATGTTGTTGATCACTTTTCTTGATTTTGAACAACCCTGAACACGTTTGACAATATAATTCAGACTGAATGAATACATACAATCGTATTTGCAGCAGGCTATCGTCGCTTAAGATCAAACAACTGCAAATGTGTCTACAATCAATTTAAACCGTAGCCTTAACGGCCAAGAACACACTGTCACAATTTTCAGTACTTGCTTACACTGATTTATCGAGGTTTCCGTTTTCTGTCAGTAAGGTAAGAAAGTGGTGCTTTGTCTGTGAAAATTCTCCGGCCATGGCTGGTCATGGATTCATACTTCCATGCAGGCCCTACAAGCCAGGACATTGCTGCTCCTCCAACCAAGCCTCCTAGCTGAAATTGTAAGTTCAGATTTTGAACAATCTCACAAGTAAAAGTGTAAAAACGCACGGTAGTTACGACTTACATGTCCCCAATTATCGATGCCTCTCGACATTAACCCGATAACCTGCATGATCAACAATTCATAGCCACTGAGCTAAGAAAAGTAGGCATAAAAGCGTAAACTTGAATAAATCAAGCCCCATTCAGGCATCAAACTCTTGCAGGGAAAAATCAGACGCAAGTGACTGAATTCGGTATGTATGAGATCGGTTTTCCAATATTTCATTGTATGGTAGGTTCTTCGCATTCTCGAACATTGAGAAGCGAAAGCTTTAAATCGTACCATGTTTAAGAAAATAACTTGTGCTATTTGCTGCAGATCTTCTTTGGCATCTCTGATCATGCCTCTATGCCTCATGACAAACACAGCAACAGAACCAACCTAGACAAACAAAAGAATCTTAAATGTGACACATACGAGATAAAAGCATAACAATAGTTTTTTTTTCTAATTAAAAAAAGGTTTTCAAGAGAGCACCACTAGTTGGAACAGTTTCTTATGAATAGTTTATCTTATTTTGTGAATAGCATCGAGATGTCTTACTAATCCAAAGATTGCGCCAGATGCACCAACTGCAGGCGCTTTGCAAAACCAGTAACTCGTAGCGGCACCTAGTTTTCTTCGATTGATTAAGTCAAAATCTTTCCAGAAGGGAAGCAATTTATAACCTACTGTAATGAGTTTCTGAGTTGTTACTTGAAATTGCAGATGTCAGGTAAACTGCAAGAAATCTCCTCGGACCACTTAAATTCTCCACAGTCGGGCCAATAGAATTCAAAGAATAACAATTGACCTGAGAACAACAAATTCTCTTAAACCAAATGAAGAAATAAACTTCCTAATTCAGAAATTCGAAACCAAACCATAAGGTGCCCCAAATTTGCATGCAAAAGAGAAGATGTAGCCAGCCTCCAAAGCTGCCCTTTGTCAATAAGATTATTAATCTGTATACAATACGAATAACCAATATCTGAATATCAACCCACAGTTTCCAAAATTATGATGAAATCGAAACAGATTCGGCTCCGAATTTTTCTTCACGAATCGATCCGAATCTCACCTTAGCTCCCCAAAGCAACAGCTTCCCTTGTGTTGCCAGTTGTGCAACATACATTCTGCATATGGTATAATTTAGTTTTCTTACTTTTATACAGACAATTCAATCTTTTGTTGAATGAAAATGTAATCGTTTCGACAGGGGAAAACTTACAAGATATTGATAGCTAAAAGGATGTTGGTCCAGTTCCTTTTGTTAAATGAATTTCTCCTGGAAGTTTCCATTTTGGATGATCCACTATTACCCTCATTTCCAAAACCCTTTCTTTGTTCTTCCCCATTAAAGAAACATACGAATGATGAACATGAAGGGACAACATCATTTGCAAATTGAAAATTGTAAGTTCCCATGAAGTTGGAAGTTGTTTCGGACCATACATCCTTCAAACTAGGCACATTACACAGATGGCAGAGTTTCTGTACGACAAGAAAGTTAAAAAAATTGATCTTTTTTTATTACTGACTAGTTTGATGGGATTTTCCCAGGTGGTAATGGAAAGGGGTACCTTGAAGGAGGAGCAGAGGTGGAACCCTAAGCGGAGCTGGTGGCTGAGGCGGAGACAAGCTGCCGTGGTGATGACGTGAGTGGATTCTACTCTCGATGATAAACCCCACTGGAAATGGAACGGCTGAGGCACGGCTGAACCCATCAATCCAACACCCAGAAAGGACCGAACCGGTGTCTTGCCGAAACTGAACTGCTCTTCAAGTAATCCAAATGTCTGGCTCTGAGGGTCAAGAAAAATAGCACTAAGGAATTATTTTAGGGGTAACTATATTTTTAGTCCCTTTACATGCTAAAATTTGGGATCTAGTCCTCTACTTAGCTTAATGCATTTTTTGCACCCTAACATTTACATGTTTTCTCAATTTGATACCAAACGTTTTCCATCAGTACTGTGAAGAATTAGCTATCTTGTAAAGGTTTTAGGTTGTCTTTCTACAACATTTACTAACATCTCGAGGTATATAGACTAAATGTGTTGGCACCAATCTAAATGCAGGTGAACAAGTTCAAGGATGAAGCTTTGGAAATGTTATGCGCCTCAACAATGACATTAAACAGCAAAGGAGAAAGCAGGCACATTGGATTACATCCTTTTCTTTTCCAGCTCTGAAGTCTAAACAAAGTCCAGCAGATACATTATGATGGTAGAGTTTGATTTTTACTATTGGCAGGTTATATATGACAATTCCGTAGGCACCAATTTGCTCGGTTATGGTGCTTTACTTGAACTCTATGCAAACCTCAGATATCAGATTTTGTGTGGGGTAAGTCATCTACTAAATGGTCTATATCCAAGAATGCCATTACTTCTGGTCTTTGGACTTCTCGGCATCAGACAAGGAAAGGTTGAATCCAGTGTCGATGGGGAAACCCGAACTCCGATGGCTCGGAGAAAGAGGGTTGTCCGGAAAAAGGAAATAACAAGGTCCGTGCAGTGCATAGTTAAATTTTCATGATCATATTCCAATCAATTCGGTGGTCTACGGAGAGACATAATACGAGAAAGACCTCGGCAAGGTGCGGATTTGCTATGATTTCTGTGTCAATGCTGATTACTGGCTAAAAGGGTCACCTCACGGCTCCGGTATATTGCCTATTTCGTGAAAATTTTCGTTATAAATTTAACTTTGAATGTATTTCTATTTTGACCATTTAATTATAAATTTTTTTGTGCTTCTTGCATTATCTTAGTAACTTATATTTTGAGCACGAATCACGTAATTTTGATAGTTAAGGGATGGTTGTTATGTCTAAAGGTTTTAGATTCGAGCACGACTTGTGTAAAGATGTTTGAACATTTATTATCAAAAAGTTGAAAGTCGTTCAAATATATATTACCTTATAATTATTTCAAACTAATGAAAAAAACTCTCTTTTGATCCAACTTAGTTATGTATTTCAATTATGTAGATATCAAATACGATTTTAGATTAAAAAATTCATTGAATAGTTTGAGTGATAGAAAAGATCGATGTTCCCTCTAAAACTTTAGAATTGGATAATTATGTCAGAAGAATATACCTTGCAATAATCATTTTAAATTATTTAAAAAAATTAATGAAACTAAAAAAAATCTGATTTATTATAATAGAAATCTCATTTTTTTTGTCTAACTCCACTTTACGAGAAATGAACTCATTTTCATGATCTCCCTATCCCACATCGTTATGATTTAAGTTAGTAATATCACTAATCTCCCTATATATACTGTATTCAAGCTTTGCAATTTTTACTAAGAAAATTAAGATTTAATGTCATCTTTTTAAGAATTTACACAGGACCTCCAACGTCCTAACCCCGACCCTGGATTTGAGCTAGCTTTGCCATTTCATATGTTATCTTATTTCCTTCACGGTGCACGTGCAAAAACTTAATCTTCCAGTCTCTTTAGATTACCTCTTTGATGTGATATCCCGACGTTCGTTCTACCTCTATTCGAGTCTTTTTCTATAGAATTTTTCATGCCTCTTTGCTATCCACTTCGACCATCAGCTTCTTAACTCACCACAACAAAACAAAACAAATTTTTAGTGACGTTTTTTCGATCATATAGCGGCGTTTTTATCCTTCATTATTTATATTTTTATTGAATTAAACTGGGGTTATTTTGGTGTAACTCTTCATTTCGATGATTTTTTAATCTTCAACCCTTTTCATCTCAACCTTTCCTCCCTTGGCCTCCCATCTTCCTTTTTCAATTCTATTATTTACTTATTATAGTAATCGATGACTAAAAAGATTCGAATGTAAATTTAAAAGTTTAAAGACTAAAAGAAATATAAAAGAATGACAATTCTAATAAACTCGAGTAAATCGATAGATTTTGAGGTTTCAAACATAGAAGAATGACAATTTATAATTTGACATGTTTAAGGTGATTAAAAGGCAGTAGTTATTTAAAATATTCTCAGTCGTTTATTAATGAATGGTCAAACACTTCTACAAATGTAATATTCAAACTCGATACTTTTAAAAATAACAATCATCATTTAACTATCGAAGTAATTTAATTTGCATTAACATATTTAAGATGATAAAATATTAAAAGTTTACCGTTTAAATCATATAATAACATCTTACAAATAGGCGATCAGAAATTTTAATATTTAAAATTAAATAATTAAAATATAAATATATGTCTTCCATTTCTCCAAAATGTGACGTTAAATCATACCTATTATGTGTAATTTTTTTATATTCATCTCTTCTTATTATCTTTTTGGCTTAATACACTTTTTTAGTCTTTAAATTATGTCTGAAAATACGATTTAGTGTCTAATTTTTTTTATTAATAACAAATGTTTAACGTTTCTAATGTTATAATTTTTAGTGTCTGAACCGTAACGATCGTTAAATTTGATTGTTATTTAATACGTGTCACACATAAAATTTTAAAAAATATTTTATTTTAAAAAAGTTAATTGAATTTTATATCTTCCGCCGTCGATTAGCTATTGTCAGTCTGTGGCCGTCACTATTGACACCACCAAAACATTCTCGTCATCGCGACCAAAACCCAATCCCCTACCCACCGTGAAATTGCACCAATCGTGGTGAAAAAAGCCTCGAAGGTCGTCGGATTTTTAAGTTTTTTGTTGCTATTTTCTGACGATATCGATGAGTACAGTCGTTCGTAGGTTACACGGCCACAACCGTTGGATTTCTCGTCTTGCTCCGAGCAAAACCCGACCGGTGATAGTCCTTCACCGTCGACGTGGGAGAATGAGAGAGAGAGAGGAACGACACGAGGGGTTTATTTTTTTAATGTTTTTCTTTTCCGGTAGACATCTAAAAGTTTAGAAAATATAACGATAAGCACTTAAAAGTGTAACTAAAAAACGTTAGATACCTATTGTTAGTTAAAAGTTTGTTAGACATAAAATCGTATTTTGAAGTATAAATGTTAAGTTCATTTCAATTCGAAATAAATTGCCGCATATATCATTGTGGCAATGTCCTATACAAAAATGAAGAAACTCAAACGTTCTTTGCCTTTCTTGTATACAAAATGGTAAAGATTTTTCATTATAAAACTACAGTGGATGTCAAAAACTATCAAGGCGTGCGACTGCCCTGCCTTCTTTCTGATTTATTTTCTTATCCATTCGACTTCTTTGATTCGCAGCTCTCAACTTGTCCTCGAACGGTAATACAATCACCGGGGTTGCAGGTACCGTGATCCACCGCTCCTTCAGCAAACTTAAGAATCTCTTAACCATTTCCCTCCTGAATTCGAGCTCCTGAGTGAAGAGATCGCATAGAAGAAAGGCAAGAACATACTTGAAAGGAACAATGAGAAGAACGGTTGCAGACGATAACACCACCAGTGCAACCTCAGTTGTTACCTGTTAAAATGATTAAATGAGTATGGTTTCCGGCAGATTTGCAACATAAAAGAAACAAAAAAATCCTTATTGCATTCATCATTCTTTACTAGGCCCCTCGTGAAACATGATATCGTACCTGAGGCTGACCTGCAAGGAGAATCGTGCGTAATTTAAGGAGAGTAACGTTCAGATTCTGGAGATAATATTCCACATCGCGCATGGCATCTTTTAAAGCTATGATCTTCTGAATAGTATTCGAAGGTGGCTGATCACAGATAGTGACTTTCCCGAAAGATCTACCGAGACGTCCTTGTTCCTTGAGCCCTTTGAGGGTTAGCATGCCAGTGGCTAAGACGATCAATGTCACGGGAAACACATAATGCAACATATTCCTAGGATGTAACCATTGAAGAAATCAGCTTAGTGTGCTAACATGGAGTGATATGAGTTAAAAACGACAACAAACCCGATTTAAATAACTATTTGAATACGAGAATGCTTACAAAAACTCTAGCGCCAGGAACAATTTTGTAAGCATTTCTCAAATTTAAATGTTAAGACCAAAACATAGAGCACGAAGCATCAAAAAATTTTGTATCATTTATCAAATTTTAAATGTTAAGAGTGAAATATAGAGGATAGCTCACGAATTCTTGTATTCAAAACTAACAAGTTGGTCATCGTAAACTATTTACGACATCTTGTTCTTCATGCATAAATGAATCATCATCTTGCTCCAAATTATATATATCACCATTTAGAAAGTTACTATTGTTTGCCTAGAAATAATATATGCAAAGTGTGTACCTGAAAATAATCGTATATACAAATGCCAGAAAAGAGAGAGTCAAGCGCGGTTCCTCCCAGCGTCTAAGCTTTTCGAAATTCCTAGCAGTTATTGCAAAAGGAAGAATAAGTTCCTGCATAAAGAGAATTTCCAACAAGTTCGATCAATTGACATATACAATCAAAAGGTAACCGATGAGAAGGACTAAACATGGACAAATATATGCCAAACCTTGAAAAGGTCTATATTACTGGGTATTCCCTGAATTTTTGCAGCATCAATTGTAGCTTGAGTTCTCTCTGCGGCCTGGTACTTCTGTTTGCAGATTGCTGCTGCCCTTTCTACTATTGTCTCACCAGCTACAACAAGGTTTTTATTTAACACAACCGCGTGTTTGATAGAAGAATGCTTCCAAAAACTAATGGAAGCACTAGAACCCCAAGACGGAGATCTCATCCACTTCCGCAAGTAAACACTTCCATCTATGTCAAATACGTGATCACTGATTTCAAATGTCTCTTCGTAAGGGGTCCTCCCTTGTGCTTGCGTATACCCTGAGTCTGTAAGTTCTGCAACTAATGGTCCACCCCAATAATTTACGGCTAGAGTTT